CAAGTTAATGCCAATGGATGCTCCTGGGCCACGGTTTTATTGGGAAGACGTCATGAACAGCTGGAAATCGGACCGCCCGCCTGTCTCGCCGGTTCCGATGCATGCGCAGGAGCGGAGTGCGCGTCTGTCCCTCGGAGGCCTGCCTGGCCGGCTCTGCTCACGGCCGGGGGCCTGGGGTCTGGTCCTCGGGGTGCGCAGCCTCCCCACGCCCCCGCCGGGTCTGGGGGACAAGCCGTGCCCGGGGAGAGGAAAACAAAGAATCCCAGAGCCATACAATCAGCTGTCTGAACGCGTTTATGTTTAGTCTCGACTGCGGCAGGGGCAGGAGGTGCCGGCAGGGAGGACGAGTGTCAGGAGCAGGCGGGCGGGCCGGCCTGTCCGTGTGGTGTGTGCTCGGTCCCAGGCGGCGATGTGGGCGTCGTGGTCCAGCCCACAGTTCCCTTTGGCGTGCGTCCCACTCCACCTCCTGGGGGACGTCACTCCCCGGTCCCGGGCCCCTGCGGGCCGGCAGTGGTGATGACCCCGGCCTGCGCGCTCACAGTCCCACTGGGCTCCTCCAGCCGGGACCTCTTCACCTCGGGCTCCCCGGTGGCGGCGGCAGAGGTGACGGTGGTGGCTGACGTGGCGGTGGCGGTGGTGGTGGCGGCTGCTGGCTCCTCGGGCCCCACCTCGCACACCCGGGCGACCACCACGGGAGTGGACGAGCTGGCCTGGGCCGCCAGGAGCTGCAGGGGGCTCGTGAGGGCTGCGGGGAGGGAGAGAGGTTACTGATGGGACCAGCGCTCCCAGCAGCCCCGGGCCAGCCGCCCACCTGCTCCCACCTCAGCTGGACTTTCCTTCCCATGAACACCCCACCTTAACCCCGAGGGGTGCACTGTCCCTGTCTACTCCAGTACCTGCCCACTCCCCTTCCTCTGCCTTCCTGAGCACCTGGCTGAGAACCGAAGCCCTCAGCCCTCAGCCCTCAGCCCTCAGCCCTCAGCCCCGGTCCCCACCACGTGTGTCCGTCCGATGCCCCTGCCCTCTCAGCCAGCTGGTGTGAGCTCTGCGACGGGGACTTTGCTTAGTGTTACAGTGCCCGGTGCTTAGCAGCTGCTCAGCTGGTGGATACCGACCGGCTGCCGGGATGGCCTGGGAAAGGGGCCCCTGGGCACTGACTGTGCCTGAACCCCGGGCTACAATGCGGCACGGAGGGCCTCACCGTAAGCGCTGCCGGCTACACTATTGGTGGGGACCGCGTGCCTTCCGTTTTGCGTGACGGCCCGGACCGGAAGAGGGTGCTGCCCGATGCTCACGGGCGTGGCCGGCTGCAGGATGGTGACCGTGTGCCCGGGGACGCCAGGGGCCATCTGGCTGGCCACCGTCTGGATGACTCGGCTGGTGGCGGGGATGGTGGCGAAGGCGATGGTGGGCTTCTCCTCCAGGCCTAGGGAAGAGCGCGCGTCAGGGACCGCCTCGCCAGCGGGCGGCCGTGGCCATGGGCTGCGGGTGTCAGGCACTGACACTGGGAAAAGCCATCGCTTCTCAAAAGGAAAGTCGCACCGAGGAGGTAAGTTTTAAAACAACAGGAAAGCGATTCACAGCCTTTTAAACACACGTGTAACCGTCACACTTTACAACAGGAAAGTGATTCACAGCCTTTTAAACACACGTGTAACGGTCACACTTTACTGCCAGGGTGACCGAGGAACAGGATGCTCCTGGGAATGACTGGCCTCCAGGCAGACCCGCTGTGGCGAGGCTTCCCATGGCCCCCACGGCTGGGATTACCCGTTAGTTACCGTGGCCCAGGTTCCAGCTCAGGGCTTTGTAACTAGTTTTTACTTTAAATGACTTCTAAGGGCTCCTCACTGGTGGCTCGAGAGGCCTCATCCTCGGATCCCAGGCCCCAACCTAACAGCGCACCTGGGGGTGCGAGCACCTGGCTGCTGCTCACGAGGAGGGTGTGCTCTGGAGGGTGACCCTGCTGACTGCACGGGACAGACTCCCCAAAACACAGGAGCGGGGAGCACGGGCAGCAGGCTGAGAGCCGTCGGCCCCAGAGACTGCCCACCCAGACCCCTGGGCTCTGCACCCCCAAGGCCCAGGCTGACACTCTACCTCCCGGAGCCCCGGAGGGACCACAGGGCTCTCACCTCTCGCCTCACTGCCCAGGTCCAGCACCGCGGTGCCTGCGGCTTCGTGGGCGCCCCCTGCCGAGGCCTGGTTGGTGGTGAGGATGTACCCGTTGGCGGAGCTGGCGGAGGACGTGACCACCCTGAGCATGGTGACGGGGGGCGCCTGCTGCACCACGTGGATGGCGTGGCCTGGGGGCTGCTGTGCCGTCACGATGGACGCAGGCATGTAGGCCACGGGCTTGGCCACTAAACTAGGAGGTCGGGGGGGCACAGCCATGATCACGGGCTGGGCGCTGACGGGAGAGCCTGCGGAGAAGGAGCGTGGGGTCAGCGGGCCCCACAGCCCCGGCCGGGTCTGGTCTGCCCGCCGCAGGGGCCCCGCTCTTACCGGGCGCGCTCTGGGAGTAGCGGTACTCTGGAACAGAGGCGAGCTTCGACCCAAAGTCAGGGTCGTGTGGAATGGGGGAGCCCTCTCGAGACAGGCACTCTGGAGTCTGTAGGCCGCTGGAGCGAGGGGACATCAGCCCGGGGTGGGTGGGTGAAGCCGGAGCGCTCCTGAGATCGGGGAGGGACCATGAGAGGGACCACGTGGTGAGTGCGCGGGAAGCAAGGCTACTTAACAAAGTGGAGGCGCCCGAGGATGCGGACCACGTGCGGCCTGGCCTCCCCTGCCCTCTGTCCCCACAAGGGGTCCCCACGCCTGCAGCGACGACGAGCTGCCCGGCCACCGTCACAGCCCAGCCCCGGGTGGACGCGGTGCTGCTTGTGGCCACAGACGAAGCCACGTCCCGAGCACCTGCTCTCCAAGGGACCAGTGTCCCCCGGGAAAGGGCTCTGTCCTCTGTTCCCCACACGAGCTCTGTGGGCCGGGCACTGACTTCCCGCCAGGAGAGCCTGCGCGGGGCAGAGCCACGCTCCCGAGTGACCCGTGCCCCCCGAGTGACCCACCGGGCCTGGAACAGCCCCCTCCTCCAGCCCCGCCCGCCGGCTGCGAGCATCGGGCCTCTCCCCTGGGGGACTGTCAGTGACACGGCCCCCTGTGCCCCGAACACGCTGGGTAAACCGTCCCACGGGCGCAGGACGCTGGGCCCCAGATGCAGCGGGGGAAGCAGCCTGCATTCTGTGTCTGTGACCCACGGCAGACACCCCTCTCCCTCCCTCACCGACAAGGTGCTGTCCCCGCAGCAGGGACCCTCCCTCTGGCCGGCCTCCTGCCTCCCGACCCCTGCTGGCCGGAGTCCTCGCCTGGAGACCCCACGCGGTCACCCCGTTGGTGAAGGCGCTCGAACGTACAACTTCCTGTCTGGGCCTCGTGGACCTGGCTTTACTCTACAAAACCAAACCCATTTCCACCCACCTCTGCCCCCAACACAGGCCGAGACCCAGCCCACAGCAAAGCTCTGCTTCCCTGTCCTCCTGGTCTGGGGGTTCCCTCCCCCCAATTCCCTGTGCAAATTCTACGTGCAGCACAAGATCGGGGGCCCAGCTTCCAATGTGGCCCCGAGGACAACCCTTCACAGACACCCCGCACACAGGGTTCCCGGGCAGCGCTGGCACCGAAGGCGCCCGGAACATCCCCCGAGCCGCTCATGGGCAGAGCAGCCCCCAAAGCTCGGGAGCCCTCACCTCCAGGGCCTCGGGGCGCCTGCTTTGCAGGTGGGTTCACAGGCCTTTAGGGAGGTGCTCGAGCTAAAGGAGTCAGCAGGGTGGGCCCGGTCCCGGGACGGCGTCCTCACAGGAAGGGGAAGCGCGGACAGAGAGCGCCACGCGCCGCCAGCCTCCGCCAGACGCCTTCCCACCAGCGCAGCCTCTCAGAGCCACGTGCAGGGGCAGCCACGGTTGCCGACTGCAGGGCTGTGGCCCACGGACGCTGGACAGTCCCTCCCTCGGGACAAGGGGAAGGGCGGTGAGTGCCCAGGGGCCGGTGTGGAGTGGCTGCGGGTGGCCGGCTCACCTGGAGGACAGCGGTCCGAAGGGGGTGCGGAAGCAGGAGACGCCCCGCTGCCTGCGCTTCCGGAAGGCCTGCTCCACCAGCTTGGCTTCGGAGGCCGGGTCGATGCGCCAGAAGGACCCCTTCCCGGGCTCCTCCTGGGAGCGGGGCACTTTGATGAAGTAGCGGTTCAAGGAGAGGTTGTGGCGAATAGAGTTCTGCAGGCAACAGAGATGGCACCGCTCGCTAGCGCATCCGAAAGTCACGCCCAGCCGCCCCCACCAGGACGCAGGGATGCGGGACGAAGGTGACAGGACCGGGGTTCAGGGGTCACACCGGCGACGGCTCCCGCGGGCTGGCCAGGTCACTCATGGGGCAGTGCAAAGGCACAGGTAGTTTTTCCTGTCAAAGTCCAGGTCAGCATTGCTCCCATTCTTTAGAACAAACGCGAGACAGGAAACGCAATCCCTGGTGGAGGGGGTGTCCAGGTCGAAGCCGGCACCGAGCCTGGCTGGGTGGTTCAGTGGGTAGAGCGCCGGCCCTTGGACTAAAGGGTCCCGGGTTCAATTCCGGTCAAGGGCACACACCTCAGCTGCAGGCTCAATTCCTGGCCCTGGTCGGGGTACATGCAGGAGGCAACCAATCGATGTGTTTCTCACATCGATGTTTCTCTCTCTGTCTCTTGCCCCCTTCCACTCTCTCTAAAAATCAATGGAAAACTGTCCTTGGGTGAGGATCAACAAGAATAACAAACAAAACCCCGCACCGAGTCCACTGGCAAAGGAAAGACACTAGGAGACACACGATGAACGGGACACGCTGGTTACGCCCAATGCAGACAGTCTGATGATCCCACGCAAAGGAACGCACCGTGACGGACACGTGGCTGTGAGCACAGAGCCCAGCAACGTGACGCGCGGGTGTAGCCATCCGAGGGCGGGGCCGGACGCCCCGGGATGCAGCCCATTTGGACGCTCTGCGGGGCCACGTGCCGTGCCGGGCGCGAGCCTCACCTGCCAGCCCTTGTCGGCCGTCCGGTAGTAGGGGTAATGCTTGGTGATGTGGGCGTAGATGCCGCTTAGTGTCAGCTGCCGGTCCTGCGCCGAGGAGATGGCCTGCACGATCAGCTGGGCGTACGAGTAGGGCGGCTTCGACTCGTCCTGGGGAGCAGAGCAGGCAGCGTGAGCGAGGCGGCCCCCGTCCATCCCACCCACGGCCTCCCGCGCAGAAGCGCCAGCGGGACAGGTCAGCAGTGTCTCCTTCAACCAGCCCCGGCCACCTGCACACCCGCCACGTGCTCCGCCCGCAGGGAGAAGGGTCTCGTCACGATTTGCTGACACCTCACTCCTCACCTCACCGCTGATTTTAAAAGTCCTGGGGGGGGGGGGCGGGGGGGAAGGAACCGAGACCGTTGTAAGGCAAAACCTTTCCTCGTCTCAGACACTAAGTGAAACTCTGAAACTGTCTGGTCATCAGCAGACGGGATGCGGGGAATGCGGGGAGAAGGAGCAGGCGCAGGAGGTGGGCGGGAGGGGCGGGCTGCAGGCGAGACCTTGGGGCTGTCTCCTCCGGACGCGTCTGCCTGCTGCTCCGAGGCGGCCTTGGCGGCGAACTCCGCGGCCAGCTGCAGGTCCGAGGTCACGTTCTGGACGAATCGGTAGCTGGAGGAGCCGGCCCCACGTGGACTGGCCGGGCAGGAGTTGGGAACACTGCGGAGAGAGAGGACGCGCTCTGGTCACGGTCCTGGGAGGACTCTGTGCAGGAAGCGGGACCAGGGACACAGAAAGCGCCCGCACTTCCCTGCTCTGTGATTGGATGACACCGCACCCACCGGATGAAGGAGGGACCAGTTATGTCCTCAGCACAGACGCTGGCCCGGGAGGCCGAGCCTGAAGGGCAGGCGGCGTGGCTGCAGGGCCGCCGCTGTCCACACGGTGGCACCCTCAGCGAAGGCCGGAGCCGGGTGCTGCTGCAGGAACGTTTCAGGGGGGCGACCAGCCCTGCCGGCCACAGCCCCCAGGCTCCTCTCCTCGGCTGAACCGGCCACCCAGCATCTCCGGCTCCTCCACGGCCGCCCAGACTGTGCTGTGGGTCCCAGGCCTGTGCCACCCAGCGTCCCGCCCGCCGGAGCGGCGGTCCAGTCACAGGCTTCGGCCCTTTTCCTCTCAGTAACAAACCACGTAGAAACACTGGCCCTCACCTTAATTCCATCACAGACATTCCGAGAACACCCATGACAGCACGGCGCCTCCACGGCACCGGAGGAGCCTGTGTCCCCGCCTGACGCCCTCCCCTCATGTCCCAACACCCGCAGCTGAGCCAGGCCCTCCCCCAGAGCGCCCCGTCTCCGGCTGGGAGGGACCCCGGTGACACACGCTGCCCTGCAACACCTGGGGGCGGGGGGAGAGGGCATCGTGAGAAGTTGCTACTGAGGAGGAAGGTGAAGGAAAGAATGAAACCCTGACCGCGAGCAGCTGGTGAGGGACAGCAGCCCTCAGCTCCCGGGCGGTCAGAGTGCCTTCCAGAAAGGCCCGCGTGGGAGCGGAGACTCTCAGGACCCTCCCTGGGAGTCCCTGCTCTGCCCCCCGGGTCCCCGAACACGCCGAGCGGTGCTGTGTGTGCACAACGTCACGACACCCAAACGGGACGCTGGCAGGAAGCAGCACCGCACCTTCCGGGCGTGGCCCTGACACACCTGCTGGCGAGGTTGGCGGAGGGGAGGGTCGTCCCAGTGCCCCTGCCACGCACGCAGCCGGGCTTTTCCAGTGCGTCCTGGGAGCCACGGCCACGCGTGAAGCCGGGGCGGGGAACACGCAGCCCGTGGCTTCTCCTGAGGTCCCGTGAGGCCCACACCGTCCACGCCCTCCTGGACCCGACCCCCCCCCCCCCAGTGGCCACGCAGCCCTTCCCCAGCCGCTATTTTTGTGGGAGATCAGAGAAAACTGCTGTCCCGCCCTCAGAAGGCCGACCGCAGAGAAAACTGCTGTCCCGCCCTCCGACCTCCAGCGGAAGCGCGGGGCTGCCTCCCACAGGCCGACCTCCAGCGGAAGCGCGGGCGCGGCTGGCCCGGGACACAGAGCCGCTCGCAGCCTCTGCCGAACCTCGGACGGGGCCAGCCGGCCACCCTGGACATGCCTGTGCGCACACGGCTTCCGGCCTCCGAGCAGCGAGCTTCTCAATGAGCCCTTCAGCCGCGGCCGCCTGGGACCCCCCCCCCAACCCCATGCCTCCAGGTCAGGGCGGAGGCCGCTGCACGCCACGCCGAGCGCCTGGGGCTGTCGGTGCTCAATCAGAGCCCGCCGCGGGCTCTGTGGCCACTGCAGGATGGCCAGCGTCCCCGAGAGCTTCAGGCTGCTCCGCCCAAACTGCCCGGCAACGAGCAGAGCCGGAGAGAACGCCTGGAGGAGAAGCAGTGTCTCTTGGGACGTGGAGGACGCACTGGCCTCCTGGACGGAGCCGAAGCAAAGAGCCGCTCACTCAGGGCAACGCGACCGCCCAGGCGTGCGGGGCCTGGACCCGGGCGGAGAGCAGCACCGGGCACATGACTCAGGTGCCCGCCCCCGACTGCGGGTGAAAGGTGGACACAAAGCGAGATGCACGCGAGCGGCAACCGCCGCGCCTTTTATGGAAAATGACCCGAAGTCACCTTCCGTTTTAGGCCATGAGTGGCGCCTCCTCCAGGCCTGGCACTCGGCCTCAGAGACCGTCCAGGACACGCCTGCCATGTCTGCGCCCGCGCTCACGGCACTGGGCGAGCAGGCAGCGGCGTGTGTGTGTGTGTGTGTGTGTGTGTGTGTGTGTGTGTGTGTGTGTGGCCCTGCGTGCCCGCGCAGCGGACACGCTACCGGCTGGGCACATGAGCCAGCTCGGCCAGGACATCCTGTAGGAAGGACCAGGAGTCAGAAGAGTGTAAGAGCAACACTCGAAACTAGAAAGCGATGTGAAGTACGAGGGACACGCCCCACCGAGGGTCTCCGCAGGTAACTGCCTGCCGGTGCGAAGGAGAACAGTGACCGGCAGGGAGGGATGGAAGCATTCACCTCCGGTCCCGCCCCCGAAGACCGCCCC